ATCTGATTGCATTGATTGGACTTCTACATTGGCAACGAGCTGGGCATCAACCACTTGCATTAGTAAGTGAAACACTTAGACTAACTTAAATGTTATTTTTTTAGGCCGTTTTTTCACATGTACGGAGGTGTTACTAAGATACAGTAGATGACATGGACGGAGTTTTATAAAAAAATAGTGCATGTCTGATCACTTCAAATAAAACATGACGGACTTAAGCATAAAAGTATACAAAATGGAATTTTGCTTATTCCAATCACAATATAACTTTTTATTTTAATGTGGTGGAGAACTCTTGAGCATGCACACCATAAAGTTTAGTATCTCGCTATTATCAGAGATTTGGGAAACAAATTACGTATCTCATCTTGACTGACTTGAACGATTGTAATCCATTTGGATACGAGAAATTTTTTTCGAGATTCAAGACCAAATTCTAATTATTTAGTTTGCTTTACGTGAATAAATAACTTAACTAACTAACTCATGTTTTAACTTCATGGTTCTGAGAAACTGATTCATTATTGAACAAAAGTAGTGCGCTGTGGAATGCTTCATCAAAATCTTAAATCTCGAATATGTAAACATATATATATATATATAAATATTTAAAAAGTCGTACTTACACGGGTCGAGACGACATTTATGCGAAAACCGACATGAATCTGTGTCTTAATTTTGATTTCTAGAAATTTACATCAAATATATTGTGCCCATGTTGTTGAAACCGGGCAAAAATCCGCGGTTAACCACGGTTATTTTAAGAACGCACGGTTAATCACCGGTTTCGACAACATGGGTGGCTTCTACTGAATCGGGAGCAGTGTTTCTAATAGGATTTATCCGCTGAGCGTACAAGTACGCTCTGTTTTACTAACCAAAGCGTATGTGTACGCTCTGTTTTTTTTCGCAAAGCGTACATGTTTCAAATCTAAAAAAGATTTGACCGCTCTCCTGTCTTTTCTGCGTTCTAAACAGCAGAATGACTCACTAGTTAAAAAAGTTCTTATTTTCTCTTAAATATCAAAAAAGTTCTATTAGAAAACAAAGCGTAAACAGCGATAGCAAAGCGTACAGTGTACGCTCTGCTTTTCTCAGCAAAGCGTAAAACAGAGCGTATTTTTAAATTTCGAAGCGTACGTACGCTTTGATACAGTGGGTACGCTTTGCTATTAGAAACGCTGATCGGGAGCGCATAATATTTGTCTGTGCGCAGTACTAGAAAGGAACTTTTTAGGATATTAGATCTGTATGAAAAATGAGTCAGAAATTGAATCTGTACAGATTGTAACTGCAAAGAAACGCTTTGATTCACCTGATGCAGAAATCATGATTAATCTTAAAGAATGTTTTCTGACATTATTGTTGCTAGTTCCCTTAACTGAAAGTTAAAGACTTTTACGGTAGAAATATCGATTTGAGGTTCAAAAAGAATTGGGCTGTGTCCCGTATGCATTCACTTCCATCTTCTACTTGCTATTATTTAGTTTTTGATTGCATTCAACTTCGGCCTGAGTGCATTGCTAAATGAATACTTGTTTTTGAATCCTCTACGGTGAACGTTTTTAATTAAATAGTATCAGTTTACGCTGAAGAATGTGCTGTCTTTCCTCATTCTGGACAAATTATGTACACATAGAGTAGAAAACTTTTTATTATAAAACAGACATCTACCAAAACAACAAAATATTTGAATAAAAGTGAAGTTAATTCTCTTGGTGAGCTGATAAGGCATCATTCTTGTTCTGTATCCATCTGATAATATAAAAGTTTTTCTTTCCTATTTAACAAAACAATATGACACACAATAAGAACAGAGCTATTAACATACCTATTCTAAGAACCGTAATTTTGTTCGGTAGGATATGCAGACCAAAAACGAGTACAGCATGTGGATTTTGAACTTTTTTATGATTAATACGCACACCGCCTTTATCAATTACATTCAAAGCTGTTTGTTCATTTGAAAAACCTTTGACAGCCATACACAGCTCGAGTAATGTCAGCTCTAAACATAAGACAATAAGCAATTGTTGCGAGAAGGACAAAAATCTGCTATAGTTACCAGGATTTAAAGTCATTTGCATCGTTGGAATACTACTAGCAAAACCATTTATTTCTTTTTCAGTTAAATTAGACAATAAATCAATATTTTCGGCAAACAATGCTTCTGTTGTTCGAATAGCTGACTGAAGACCGTCGTCTAAACAGAAGATAACCTATTAATTAAGTGGAAAGCGAAACAAACCAACTCTTACCACCATGAACTAATAGTGTAACTTGTTTTGCTAGTTTTATCTGAGCCGCATATTCCTGAGGTTTATTCTAGAAACAATATGCAAAAAATAATAATAATGACAGAGTGAAAAGTAAATGTTATTTGACCTACTCTATGTGATTGCATTAATTGTTGAATTTCCAGTAACGGTAAAAATGTAAACAGTTTCAAATATTCTTCTACTTTAGAATCTGGTGTACTACGGAAAAACTGGAAAACATCGATAAATCCTTGCGTTATTTTTAAAATGAGACAAAAAAATAAGCTTTCTACCTGATATATTTCATATGGTGTACAAATATTTTCATCGATCGAAATTGAGTTTCCAGTACTTTTGCCTAATTTCTCTCCAGCTTCATTTGTCAATAATGGTAACATAACACCTAATATAAACAAAAGAGCACATAATGTATAGAAATCACTCTAAGATTGTGTCCTATGACTTTTGGATAACTGCTTCAAGACATATCTTTGCGGCAGTTTCTATTCAACACTTTATAGACAAAACTGATACGAACCATGTACGATTTCTTCTAGATGTGTCATTTTTTTAATAAAGTTTCGTCCTGTATCGATGTTTCCAAGTTGATCAACACCACCTAGCTGAGCGAACAAGTTAAAAAAGAAAATTCAAAATCATTTTGATTAGTAGTAATGTATGAGACATTACTTGAAATCTACAATTAAAATTTCTGAATAAATAATACCAATCATAAGCTTGAAATAACTGGTATAAAAACTCGTTTACACTCAGACCTTCTGCTGATTCAATTCGTTTAGCAATCCTATATAAGACTAAATACAAATAAAAGAGAAAGGAACCAAAGTGGAACAAAACAATTCTTACGTTTTTCTTGCTAACAATGGTCCCATTCGAAAATGTCTTCCATATGTCGACAAAAAATGGATAACATTCATATCTTTATACCATGATAAATTATTTAGAATGCTAAATACAAGAAGAATAACAAAATTGTTTCATTAAATAAATAAACAAGTGAATTTTACCTTACTGGTAAAAGTTTTCGTTGTCCCTTATCGTTGTTTCCTTTCCATATGTATTTTTCATGATTTTGAAATATCTTTTGAATGAGTTTTTCAATATTAGTGGTATTTGTCACTATTTCATCATTTAATAATTGTTGACCTGTAAGGTAAACTTCGTACAAATATAATGATGACAACACCAGTTTGATTCTCTTACGTTCATTTATTCGGCCGCTTGGATCACCAAGTAACACCGTAGCACTACCAATCTATTGGAAAACAAAAAAAAACGGCCTAAAAAAATAACATTTAAGTTAGTCTAAGTGTTTCACTTACTAATGCAAGTGGTTGATGCCCAGCTCGTTGCCAATGTAGAAGTCCAATCAATGCAATCAGATTTCCAATATGTAATGATTCAGCTGTGGGATCAAAACCACAGTAGACTGTTTGTTTTTTATTCATAACTGACTGAGTAAGTTCAGGACTAAAACACATTACAAGATAGAAATTATGCATGATAGTAACGACAAACAGCAACTACTTACTCGACAGGAGGTAATATTTCACGAAATAATCCCCGTTCCTGTAAACTAAAAATGTTATTATCTGTTATAGAACGATATGTGTAGTAAACAATGGATTTTAGACGAAAACATGTCGAACAACGATTGTACTTCAATAGTATCGACATCTGAAATAAAATACTTTACCAATGGTAAAAATCGTGAGTGTGTATTTTGTCGGACAGTAGAAGAAAATCGAGAACTGTGCATGTTTCTATCTGCTGTTTTAATGATTAGTAGGAGAAGTGAGAAATAGATTTTCACTTTGAAAAATGAATTTTTACACCTACTGCCCATTCTGAGAGAAAAATATTCCACATTGTATCCCTCTTTGTTTTTGTTTAATTTAACTCTTAGCAAATAACAGTGAAATCATATAAGGAGCAGTAGTTTTCTTTAGCATATAGAGATCTGTAGCTACGTACACTTGTTTATTCTAGTATTTCTCGTGTTTTCTTGTTTTTGCTCTGCGGATGTGCAGATATTTTCTCTTTCATTAAAAAAATTCAAACTTTCAGTCTTTTATACTCTATACTTTTTATAAACGGACCTGATTGCATTATGAAAGTGGAAGTGCAAAAACTGCGACTGTGAGACGGTAAAAAAGACTTACTAAAACATTTTGTTCCAAAGTTACCCTTTTTGTGTTTCACAAAAATTACGAAAACTTTGACATTCAAAGCAAAGTCGGAAACGATTTCGTCTTCCTTCTTTTCACTGTCACTGACTGAAATAATCTTTCAGAATCAATCGTTCGTTCTTCGTCTCTATTGTCATTTAAAATAGCTCTCTCCAATCATCTTTACAGTAGAACATAGCAACATTTAAAAACAAACCCAGTGCTGTTACTCTTATTTTGTTTTCTTGTTTTTATTGTTTCTTTTCTATCTCTCTGTTTCGTATACTAATTTACTTTTTATTTTATTTTTCTATTTATAGTTTCTTTTTGTTGTAGTTTGGCTCGAGTCATTGTTATTATAGGTCGGAGACCTTTGATGACTCTCACTTTTCGTGAATAAATTCATTCATTTAGGAAGTTCCATTCTGGAAAAATTCTCATTAAAAGCACTATTTCTGTCCGATTTTACGTGTCAACGAATAGAGTCGGGAATATTGATCCATTTCATATTGATTAAAAAAAGCATAGACTTTACAATTAAACTTTTAAGCATTTTGAATGATATTTTTCCTGGAGTTAAGTCGAAATTTTGACCTAAGTACGTATACTTCAGATTTTTGGTGAAACGTCCTCTCGTAATTAGCCTTATAAGCACATGTTTATTCAAATATATACTCAGCTTGACGATTCTACTTAATGCGAGAAAAAATGCTTTTGTGTGTCACTCGTGCAATGGTGATGTTTTTTTTCGTTGAGCACCTTCTCGTCCATAGAATACTTAAACAGGAAAAAATCAGCCAATAGAAGTGTTCGTCGATAGTCTTCGATGTCAAGTTCTCAAGAAACCAGTCATGGAAATGTTTCCATCAATCATTATTGATTTGGTCAGATGAGGAAAAGAAATGACATAGGAAGAGAAATAGAAGGTTCTGCGGTTGTTTGATGGTTGCAGGATACTCTTGAAATTTTTCTAATGTTTTATCAATTACTAACTGTGATAAATGAATCATGTTTCTATAAATTCTCTCAGAAATTTGGTTTGTAGAACAACAAGTCAGAAATTGATTCGAGCATTTTTTACTAGTGGTATTGTACGAGTCTTATTTACTCTTGTGAATAAATCGAAATATGGTGGTAAAAAATGATGTTTTATTGTACTCTCTATATAAACCAAATGTTTGTACATAAAGAATAAACTTTTAAAGTGCAAGTTGTAAAGATATTGACTTAAACTTAAAAACGTTCTGTTTTGTTTTACGTGGCACATTTAAACCAAAACAGTGTGTGTAAAACTTTAGTTTTAACTTAATTCAGTTATAACTCAGTCTAATATATTGAACAAAGTGTTTATTTCCATATGGATGTATTCTTTCTCTATATCAATCGTCTTAAATAAATCATTCACATGTACTGTTTTGGTCCGCGTTTTTCTGTGAGAAAAAGCTCTCGAAAAGCGAATATTGATGTTTTCTTATTTTTTTAGATACTGTCTTTTTATTTTGATGTACAGTCCGTTATTATTCTAATTTTAATATTTAATTATTATTATTATACTGTTTTTGGCTAAATGCCTTGTACAATGCCGTCTGATTTAGGACTTATTCAAACACAACATGATTCGTTTCAACGACATGAAGAATTAATAAAACTTATTCAGGATGCAGATGTACGTGGAATAAACTATTTCGAGTTTATCTAAACTCTGAAACTTGTTTCTAATCTTGAAGTGCTTTGCATTGAAGAAAATATGCCGCACTATATGATACTTTTGTTTCTTTTTATAGGTTTTTTATGTACCTGTCCGAGGAGAATTTGGTGAAGGACCAATTAACAATATAAACGAAATAAAACGACGATTTGATGAAGATCTTATCAATAAAAAAATGACTGTTGTATGTATCCATGGATATTTGTGAAATTGTAACTAATTTTAGTGAATTCTGTTGTTTTTTAAGACGTTTCGTGACGTTGGTTTTTCACTCCAGTTGGGATCAGTCGAAGGACGTATTGACCAAAATGACCATACAAAAGTTCGTTGTAATACTAACAAGCGTTAGCACAATTTTTAATCAATATTCATTTATTATTCATTTCCTATTTAGGTTTCCATATTTGGTAAAAATATTGTTGATGGAATTTGTATTCAATTTATCGGCTATTTTGATAGTCAAATAACAGAAAATGTGAATCAAACTGGTTACGAAAAAGATCTAAATATGATGAATGTACAACGAATATGCGGGATTGGTCGTGTGGAATTAGATGAACAAATGTATCTGAAACTATCTTCTACACAGGTGTGGTTGCGTTGTGATTTTTGAGTATAATAGGGCTTATTATTCGTAATATTCTTATTGCAGACTTTACCAACATCAACCGATGCAATCGATTCAGAGGATATGCACAGTGAAGAAATATCGGCTAAGTATGCATCTTCGATGACTTAGTACGTTTTCTTTTGTTAAGTGAACACGAGTTAAGGAAACAGACAGCAATGTAATCAGTTTAGTTTTGTCAGGCTTCAACCACCGTAGCTCAAATCTAATTTGTGTGTCTATCTTTTGTTCAATTTTTAGATTGATTGATGTAACTACTGATTCAAAAGATTATAAAAACAAATCATCTCATGTTAAAAATAACTTATTGGGCGATGATTTTCCAAGTCGATCAATGGCATCAACGAGAAAGAAAACACGTTCACGTACAATAAGTGAAAGTGTTTTAACGTCGGGTACATCACCAACAACCACTAGTTTTGATCATTCACGTTTACATTCGTCAAATACGGGAGGACATCCTCCATATCCTTCACCGTCGACAACGACTATTCGTTCTTCACGTGTTATTCGAAATTTAAAAACTCAAACGCATCGTACACCATCGCCAGTTCCCTTTGGATATTCTCCATCATCTTCGTCGGCTATGCATTTTAATGTATTAAATTCTCCACAACAGTCAGTATTAATGCCACCAGTATCTCAGACTCAAACGACCATTTCATCGTCGTCGCCTTCTAACACTTTCAACGATTATAATATAGCATCAACATCCTCCTCATCAAACCGATATATCGGTGATTCAGCTTCTATTTCTTCAATGAGTCCATCTTTGTCAACCACATCAGTGTCGCCCATCGAGTCTCAACGTCGTGTTCATTCACCTCCTTCTTCCGCTCATTTGCATAATCATTCGATAATAAATCATACAACAGCACCAATTCAGATTACTACTACATCATCTCCCATGACACTAACAAATCACATGGGCTCATATACCACGTCATATATAGTATCACCGATCCAATCTCCAGTCGGTTCTCACTCGCTACCAGCATTTTATAACTTTGGTGTACTTCCTCACGCGAATACCAATATTGCTTATATAACACCAGCAAGATTTGATTTCGCACTAGGTGCAGCAACCGCCGCAAATCCTGGCGGAATGCTATTTATTGCAGCTCCCAACGTTCAACTCGCTAACTTAACACCTACAACAGCGTTTTCGGAACAGCAATTTCAAACACATGTAATTATACAACAGCAACAACAGCAACAAGCAAAAATTCAGTTTGCTTCATTACAAAGTTCATATGCATCATCTTTCATGCCGGCGAACGTTTATTCTTACAATAGTGTACAAGTCGCTGAACAAACATCTCCAACTATCCTGCAAACACGTAATATCTTAAGTCGCATGGACGAGAGTCAGGGTTCGATATCAACGACAACATTACAGTTAAATAAAGAAGAACTGAAATTAGAAGAGACAACGATGGATACTACAAGTTTTGGAAAAATTCGAAATAAATCGTTTGTATCATCTTCTGTAGTTGACAAACAGTATCATTCTCTTTCGAAACCCATCAGTGTTGATGAACAACCATCTGTCGTTACAACGTTACCATTTAAAAAACGTCGAGTTTTGAATTGTGTCGATGAACAAGAAGACGATGAATATGAAGATACTGAAGGTGATGAAACGGAGGGGAAAAGTAATCAAAATAAAAAATATTTACCGTTATTTGCTTAGAAAAAAAACGTGTCGCTTATAGATAAGTAAGAGTATGTTCTTGTACATTACCTGCCATTTCTTTTTTTAATAAATTGTTTTTCGATAAGGATAATTGATAAATTTTCTGATCATGACTCGGTGATAGTGTCGTATATATAAATATAGATGTAAATATATATGTCGTTTATTTAATATAAACAAAATACATGTGTTGTTTTCATCACACTAAATATTTTTTTACATTGTTTTACCAATGAACGATATTTATTTTTTTTTTTGAACATTGTTTTACATGTTTAAGTGTGCATATCGATTGTGTATATGTGTACTTACAAATAAAAAAAATATTATATTTTTATATTGCTTAAGATTATTTTTATTTTTTCTGTCGTGTAAACTCTAAGTCATTTTGGATGTTGTTCGGAACGGTCAGTTCTTGTTTGATTTAGGACGAAAATTCCATTGGAAATATTCTTGTATTTGTATATGTGTGTGTGCGTATATATTTATTTTAACTATTTTTTTATTTTCGTTTTTTCTCAGTATGTTGAATTTTTTTAGAAAAACTAAGATGTCTAAATAAGTCAATGAAACAGTGGTTTCTTATATTTTAATAAAATTTCAGCTTCATGAATATTTTACAATTTTTTTGAAATATTGATACTTTGGTGGAATTTTTTGACTTCGTAATCTAATCGAATTACAGAATCATCTTCTTTTAAAATTCAATGTCTCTTTCTTCGTGAGAGGAATAAGCTATCATTGGTGCACTTTAACAATCGACTAGACAGAAGAGGAACTTTATTTTTATTATCGTGTATTCTTTAATTTACTGTCGAATAATCATGTCATTAAAATATTTAATTGTTTTGAATTGATTTGAATCCATTGTCACATTATCTGCTTATTCTACACGTCATCAACAGCACCATTGTTTTAGTATAATTCTTAAATATTACTTACTATTCAGTTTATTCTTGATTCTATTGCATCCTATATGTAAAACCGTATAATATTAATCGGTTCGGACAGCAATATTTCAAAGTCTTTTTAAAATATGATAAAATTATCAACTACAACAACAACAACATCCCGTATGTATGAAGAAATAATTTTTCTCTAATTGTATATTATTGATAAAAATGTTGTTCTTACAATATCAATATGATTCATTGGGGCTATGATACACAATATTTTGCTATGTATTGATAGAAAAAAATTTCCATTGTATGACAGTTCACAAAAAATAGATGGTTGCATATTACACAATGATTCTACTCTATTACAATTGATCAGTTTGTTTTTGGTTGATACTGATGTTGTTTGTTGAATTGTTTTTATCAATATTTTGTGAATGTAACCCATTTTGTAGGACACATTGTTCAGCGTTTCATCTGAATGCGACGGCAAAAAAGAAGATTTGGTACTACAACAATCACATTTAGGTAATGGGAAGCTCAATGAGTTTTTATATATTTCTATTTGTATATGCACAGTTAAATAAGGGAGTGATCATATTTTTGAACAAATATTTTCGTTTAGAAGAAACTATTTCAAAGAAAATGTTAGAAGATATTAGTATGTCACTGATGATTTAACATTGTGATGATTAAATCTGTTATTGGTCTGAAGTAAATTTGACAAAATAGTATATTTTTTCTCTTACAGCTACTTCTTTCCATCACTATTTAACATTTTTTCTTGTATTCTTGAGAGTATCAGGTATTTTTTTGTTCTTATCAGTCATTTGCTATAGACACGTATATACAGTAAAATCGATTAAACTAAATTTCACAATGTCAAGGCTCTTATTATCATCGATTGGAGTACAGAAATTCGAGAGATCTTTAGAATATATAATTTAGGATACAGACAGAGCAAATACGTCCTTGGAATGGTTTTGAATACAATTCATTTTATAAGAAAAATCAAAAGAGGTCGTATTCTAAATTCAAATGCTCTTACTGAAGCTTTCATGATAAAAGAGTAAAAATAATTGTTTTATCCGAATGCACCGAGATACAAATGATGAGATACAAAATCTAGATGCAAATGTCTACGCATAAATAATATGATCTGGTTGCATTGAGAAATATTTTACCTGCATCTAAATGTGTTAGACGATGGTTTTTTTAGTGCTTGGGGGAGCAATAGCGATGTTTTATGAATGTATAGAATGAGAAAAATAGATATTTATTTATCACTTTGGAACAAGCTACTTATAAGGAATAGTACTGTGAAACTAAATATGGAAAAATTGTTTTATTATGCGTTGTATGTAATATATTATTATGTATATTATATGAAAATGTCTCTTCTTATTTTGTCCTCCATTCATATTATTCTTATGGATGTTGGATATATTTTTTTGACTAGTCGAAATATTGTTGTCTCTGTTCTAATTACACGAAGAATACTATTGTACAAAACATGGTTCCTAATCAACGTCATCTTTTTTTTTCTTCTTTCGTTTGTCTTTTGTATAAATTGGATAGAAAGAAAAAATAGCATATATTAGTACAGTTAGTATACGAGTGAGAATTTCTTTACGAAACATCTAATATCCGTTCTCAATTTTATCATCTCTAAGAAAATGAGCAATACAACTCAACCTCATTTTTGCGATCGTTGTGGCGCATGCGGTAAAAGTTTCTCACGTACAGAACAACGTACCATTTTTAATAATAAAACATATCATCAAAATTGTTTATTATGTTCAAAATGTAAAGCGCCATTAAGTGGTTCATTTTATCCAACATTAGAAGGATTTACGTGTGAAAATTGTCATAAACGAGTGTCTACAAGATGTAAACGATGTGGAAATACAATTGATACAGGAGTCCGTTACAAATTATACAAAGGTCAAGAATATCATCCAGAATGTTTTCTCTGTTGGTCATGTAATACGCAAATAAATGAGGGTGAAAAATTTTTTGAATTAAAAGGTTATCCACAATGTATCAAATGTCATAATGAAGGAAAACAAGAATTTGTCGATTATGTTCCGATAAAATTGGCTCAATGTAATAAATGTCAAAAACCAATTGAAAAAACTCAAACATTTTCCTATTATGAAGATGTTACATATCATAATGAATGTTTTACATGCAATCGTTGTGGACTTAATTTAATTAATAAACCATGTCATCGTCTTGGTTCGGCTATTGTTTGTCCTACATGTAGTTAAAACAATAACAGTATCAAAATTATCATTATAAAAATTTATTTATTTAATTAGGCTGCTATCAAAACCCTCCCAGTTAAATTTATATAGTGTGCATTAAGATTTTTTAAATATTAAGATTATTTAGTTTTTTTGAAATAAAATCATCTGTCTTGATTGCAGTGTACAATTATCTCAATACAATCACATAGCAGAATACATAGAATAAATGGATGTTTAGTATCTTGATCAAAAAAAAAACAATAACAACTTCTTGTATAAATATCTGATTGTTGACCATACAATATGATCACACTCTATACAGAATGTTAAGAATTAAATTTAAAATTGAGTAAAGGTTGCCAAATGATTAAACACTAATACCAGAGTATAATGATATCAAATGATATAATTCAAAAAGAGTATACATTTAAGTAAAGATTGAATGATACAAAATTCTAGTGTATGTTAAATTGCAAAAGAAAATATTAAGATTTATGATGTAAATGAATGATGTCTCTGTTTAAATACAAGTCTAAACTGTTAAATTGGATATAATACAATACTTTTTCAGATTAATTTTGTTTCGAATCAAAATAGACACATAAGAGAAAAAAGTAATGGCCAATGAAGGAACGATGATAGATAGTGCTTCATTAGCCGAACTTGAAAGTGAACAACTTTATCTTGAAGTAGGTCTATTAATGTATATATATATAGTTTGCATTCAAATAATCTCATTTTTCTAGGCAGCCAATATACTTCAACAATTACAATTAGATAAACCGCTTGATGAATGGTCATTAGATGATATGGAAGGTAAAATAATTTTCTATTTTTATTGACAATCTAACAATAAAAATTGTTCATTCTAGCTCACATTCAAGAAAATCTACAAGATCAATTTGTTCAAGAAGCATTAAGTCAAGTATGACAATATTCAATAATATTTTGACTCATTTAACAATTTTTTTGTTTTCTTCAATAGGAAACTGATCTACCACGATATGCTGAACAAATTCAAGATAAATTACAAACATTAGAAAAAGCATTTGTTCAAGATTGTATGTATTTTTGTTTTGTTTTATACTAATAATATAAATTAGTTATTTTATTATTTTATTTTAATTTACAAGAAATTTTATTTTTAGTTGTTAGCGAGGCACAAAATATCGCCAATTTACATGTACAAATATCATCGTGTGACAAAATCTTAGAAGTAAATTTTTTTATTATTTCTATTTTTCATTCTATCTATTTTTCTCTATTAAAGTCAATGGATAAAATGTTAAAAGATTTTCAAGATAATTTGGCTAATATACGTAAGTGTCAAAAAAAAAAAATATGTATTTTTGTTTATAATCAAAAATACAATTTTGTTTTTGTTAAAATTTTAAGGAAATGAAATTCGACATTTACAACAACATTCAGCTGAATTAAATATAAAAAAGAAAAATCGAGAACTAGTTCGTGGACAATTGAGTCAAGTTGTTGATGAAATGGTTGTTCCACAATCCATGATACAGTAAGATTATATTATATACATCAAATCTATTTTCTAAGTAAAATGAAAAAGAAGATATTTATACTCTATTTTGTTTTTGTAGAATTATAATGGATGTTCCCGTCACTGAACGACATTTTCTTGAACAATTACATGAATTAAGTCATAAAATAAAATTTGTTAAAGAACAATCGTTTCATGATGCCGTAGCATGTTTAGATGTACAAGAAGTTTTAGAAAAACTACGTATTAAAGTAAATATTTCGAATAAATAATAAAATTATAATAAATAACAAAAAAAAAAATTTTATTCTTTTATTTAGACAATAAGTAAAATTCGAGAATTTATTTTACAAAAAATTTATCAATTTCGAAAACCAATGACAAATTATGAAGTACCACAAAATGCACTTTTACGAAATAGGTTAAAATTGAATTTTTATTCTAAATTTTTTTTTAAAATATAAAATGTTCTTTTATTTGTAATTTAGATTTTTTTATGAATTTTTAATGGCAAATGATCGTACAATAGCTGATGAAATTCGTCACGAATATATTGATACACTCGATAAAGTTTATTTTTCTTATTTTAAAGCCTATTCATCAAAATTACTTAAACTTCAAGTATATTTTCTATTTCATTTTTATCCTATATCTTTGTTAATAAAGAGAAAATCCTTTTTTTATTCTAGCGTGATGAAAAACCCGATAAAGATGATGTTTTAGGAGCAGATGATCGACCACGAACTAATATCCTTTTTAATATAGACTTTAAAAATATCTTCTCTTTTCTATTGTTATTGTTGTTGTTATTATTGTTTTTTTATTTTTATTCTTAACTCTCACTATTTTTTACGTTTATTTTCAACAAAACCAAATTTAAAACATCGTGCTACCGTATTTAGTTTAGGAAATCGTGATTGTGTAATAAAACAAGAACTTGAATCAACTATCATTGTTCCTCATGCACAACAAAAAAATGAAATAAAAGTTAGTCATTTTTTTTTTTTATCTTAGTAAAAATTATATCTAATAATTCATTTTCTTCTTTGCTTTTTTTTTTTTATAGTATCCATTCGAATATTTATTTCGTAGTGAACAATATGCATTATTAGATAATTGTTGTAGAGAATATTTATTTATATGTGATTTTTTTATGGTTCAACCGAAACCAGCAGCTGAATTATTTCTTAGAATATTTGATCGAACATTTAATCTTTTACGGGTAACTATTGTTAATGTCAAAATGAACATTTTGAAATCTTCTATATATATTGTTTTTTTCATGATTATTTTTAGAAAGGTGTTGAAATCTATGTTGCTGATTGTTATGATCCAATTGCATTATTATTATGTATGCATATTTTGTATAGATATCAAGTATTAGCAAATAAACGAATTGTACCCGTTTTAAATACGTAAGTGTTGAATTATCATCATATTATGATTATACACATAATTTTCATGTATTTTATATTCGTTCTATAAAGAAGTGTTTAATAAATTATTAGAATTCTATTGACAAATGTTTTTCTATTCAGATATCATACGACTTTAACACAATTATTAGAAACACGTTTAGAATTAGTTATGAAATTAAATATTGATAGTATACAAAAAGTTGAACCACATAAATTTTCATCTATTGAATTAACACCACATTTTGTAAATATGAAAATTTTTATTATTCTATTTTTTTGATAAAAATATAAAAATAATAAATTTCTTTTATTTATATTTAATAGATTGTTCGTCGTTATGCAGAATTTTCTGGTGCTGTAACAAAATTAAATGAAGAATTTACAAACGAGAAAATATCAACATTAATGACACGTTTACAAGCGGAAATATTAAATTTAATACTACGTATGGCTGGTGAATTTCCACAAAGAAAAGAACAATTAATATTTATTATTAATAATTATGATATTATGCTATCTGTATTAGCAGTAAGTAATAAAATAGATGTTACAAATAAAACCTTCACTTGATCGTTCAAGTTTTAAGAAAAAGAATTTTAATAGGATATATTTTACTTCTTTTTCTTTTTTAGGCACATACAAGCGAAGATTCACCGGAATGTGATTCTGTAAAAGGTCTTTTGAGAGATCGCATCGATGAATATGTAAATGAATGTCTAATACCATATTTTACTCCATTGATAATATTTGTCAAGGAATTTGAACAACTAACAGAAAGAAATGATGGTCCAAAACAATTGGAAAGTATGTAGTTTGATATGTATTCTACATGAGTACTCTGCTCAACTGTATCTTTACGTTTTATTTTATAGGCAAGTTGTCATCTATAGCTCGTATATTTCAAGGTGATTGGAAAAAAACGCTCGATCTAATTCATAATGATGTTATTAGATCATTTCCAAGTTTAAAATTAAGTCAACCAATTTTAAAAGAAGTATTTACACAATTTTTATCTCATTATCATGATTTTCAACGTTTATTAACAACAAATCCAATATTAAAAACAACACAACAATCAAAAGATTTACAATTGCCAAATGTACATCAATTAATGTTTGAAATTAAAAAATATAAATTACCATTTGATGGCGAGCAGTTTAAAACAAGAACGTGAATTTTACATATTTATCACTATGTTAATATATTATTTCTGTTTTTATTTTCCAATTGTCTACCGTTTATTTATATAAAAAAAAGATATTCATTATATTGTTTGGAATAGAAAGTATGAAATTGTTCATGAATACTTTTTAAAACATCGCATCTATGATCATATCAATAAGTTTTCGTTAGATTTAAAAAATTTCAAGATACTATAAGAAAAAATTATTTTTTTATCGCTAAACGTTGTAAAAATAAGATGAAATTATTAATGATTGTTGTGTATAATTATCAAGAGACTCAAAAACTACTTTAATTACATGATTGTTACTCTCATTAAAATGGTTGTACACTGTGAAAACTCAATGCTAATATTATGTCAGAATGGACAGAAAACTCTAATCTTTTTTAAAATTACTGTTGTTTTCTGTAGAATATCATAATAAATGAGTACATCTATAGCAGCATCTTTAGTATAAAAGGGAAGAAGAAGAAGAACGACAACAGATAAAAAATAAAAAAAAACATGAACAGATTCTATTGTTCAAAACAACAACGAGTAAACATTTTTTTATATCGCCGATAAAAAAAAATGAACATAGTACAGAATAAAAAACATTCATTACAGTTTTTAATAGTAAAAATGAGCCGTTTTTTAGTAACAAACAAATAAAATATTTTTATGTCTGTATTAAAACAGGAAAGATCGCTCTATTTGATACTGTAGTATATATCAAAAAAAACAGAAAATAATTTAGTTTGAATTGAACAAATACAACAAAATTTTTTTAAAGAGAAATTGAACAAATGACATATAAAAACAATAAAACAAACAATTTACCCCGTTGTTTTCTGTTACAACAAAATTAAAAGATAAGAAATTAGAAAAAATACAGTACAACGGAACTGTATAAACAAGTTAAAGATGAAATAGAAAATATTTTGTTGATAGGTTTGTTCAGTTAATCGAAAAAAGAACGGCAAACGTTTAATTTTGTAAATGCGATGGAAATGTTGGCCAATATGTCGCAGGTAAACATGTAACACCGGCTCCATTTTGTGCTGTCGTCGATGATGTTGATGGTACAGTTTCAAATAACGTTGTTGGACCTGGACTAGACAACAATGTTGTTACATCATATAAATTTTGTGGCGTTGTTGATTGCCCGACAGAATTCAATGCCGATAATGTACTGGTACCATTAATTGGCAACGCCGATGATGTAAATTGACCAGATGCAACATTTTGCAATGATTGTGTTGATAGATTTGGTAATATCAAATTTTGCCAATTATTTTGGGATGCTGCTGTCAAATAAAGTTGATTTGATGATGACACGGGATAATAGACGAGCGGTGTTCTAAATATTAAAAAAAAACCAATAAAGAATTACTTATCGAGCAGGTATACCATGAAAAATTATCATTATTCAAGAAGAGCAAGGAAAAACACCGTGTATCACCAATCAACAGAAAATCGTTTGTTACGGTGTCAGATTCAACACAAAACATTACACACTCACAAAAAAATTTGACGTAACACGAGCTTTTAGAATAAATTTTATTTCATTCGACAAACCGAAGAACTAAATTATTCTTACACGCAAATTTACACGTTAATCAACTTACCTAAGCAGAGGATTGTTAGCCGTAGAAGTAAGTTTTAAAGTTTATCAAGATATCATTCTTAAAACTGCCTTCCTTCTCTATTTCTGTCATATGTAAGTAGCAGAAAACTAAGTGGAAATAATGTACAACGGTCGTGTGATGTTTATTACTAATGTACATGTTTTTGGAAAAGATTATGCTTTTCATGTCAAGTTTACTCTCGCCTCTTATCACTCCGAGCTTAATATATAATATATATTCGAGATCACTCTAAAATACAGTACTAAATGGCTTACTACTCTTTTCTTATCATATTTCATTGATACGAAATGTAAAAAGTTCTTGGAAAATGAAGCACAATTCTCAAACAATACAAAGGAATATTTTCTACACTCGGTAATTTAAATTATTTACACACAAATACAAAGCAAACAGTAATTCAGAAGATTTTTAGCAGAAAAGTATCAAGCCAATTACTCTAATTTTTTGAGGTTCAAATAATAAAGCCAAAATGCTTTGCAACTACGAATTACAACCAAAAACCACGCCACACCACAACAACAGAAGCACAAAGTTTATGTTGCATAATCAGTGGTTATGTATAGCTTAATTGGTTTTCTGTTATATCTCAGAGTTAAATTCATCTCGAATAATACATTGTGGCATGAATTCGAATTTAAGTTTAAGCAGAAGTTTTATTGAACCCGGTTATCTTTTCTGCAGAAGTATAATAAATTAGGTTTTTTTTATTGATTCATTAACATACTTTTGTTTCCTTATTAAACAAACTCACACAAATCACACTTCAAACTCAAATGTCACACGTAGATGCACACAAAATACTTTTAGTAGTCTGCTTGCCTTTCATATGTTTAACCAAGCGATATTTTCAACTGGAGACGACCGAGATTAAGAGAAAAAACAACGATAAATTATGAGTGGTCAAACGTTTTTTTCCTGTTAAAAATAGGTAAAAACTAAGTGATTTTCTAATGTTTTATCGATGTTTCTATACATGTTTCATATAAAGTAGAATCATTTAAAGAAAAAGTGAATAATGAATGCTTTTTGTAGGTCCAGTAGGTATCGATTTGAATGCGATATATACATGGAAATTTCAAGAAGGGAAATGAGTAAAAAGAAAGTGTATAATTGTTTTGCGAACTGTTTATCTTGTCTTTCCTCTAAGCACCTTTTTCTCTTTGTTCAGAACAAAAAACGACAAAAAGAAATCTTTTCTAAAGCAAAGCCTAAAGGTAAAAGTGCTATTAACTTAAGTAATGCTATCATCGAGTAACTGCTTTATGTAGAGAGCATTTCAACAGTTTAATGTTTTCTTTCTAACAATTGAAATATTTCAATTGTTTGTGTAGTTTGATCATAAAATACAATTCAAAATATGAATAAATTTCATACCATAAAGGTATAGAACACTAGATAATCCTTCTTACTCTATCGAACTCTTTTCTAGGAATGATATTTTCGACCTATCGAACTGTGATTTCAAACATTGTTGATATGTCTGTAGAATATACATTCCTATATTATTCTAATAATCAGTAAAAAATTCATTTTTTTTAATAAGAAGCTGTATGAAGTTTGTTTGAGAACATATTGAAATAATCAGCTTGTTCAAGTGTATCTATCATTCAACAGGTTTCACATAATTAGTATTGGAAGATATGCACAGTCAGATAAACTTAATAAAAAGAAAGTCACGTTAAAATAATTTACATATTTTATCCGTTTTTTCTTGGAAGAAATAAACTTTTTCTATTGGAGAAAAATATGTGTCACTGTACAAGTGTTGGATCTATAAGTTAAGACAAAGAACGTTAACTTTCTTGCTTTTTAGGTTATATAGAATGGCATATTTTAACAAAAAGAATATACGTACGTTCCATAAGCTGTTTGATAATTCGATGGTAATGCACGTACGGCTGAAGTATATGCAAACAAATCTAAACAATCAGAAATACACGAAAATTATTATTTCAAAGATGATTGTGTCTGTTTTAAAACACACTTGAAGCTGGACTACTTATTCGATTTTTAGCACCAATATACGCCAAATTTACATTAGCACGTCGTCCATCTATCGTTGGATTTGGGTCTTTAGTCGCTTCTTGTGCTGACTCTCTTGTAACCATTGTCACCTATTATAAAAAACAACAAACAGATAAATCTGTGCTACACTTTTGAGAAAATCTATTGGTCATTACTTACAAAACCGTATCCTCTGCTTTTCCCCGTTGATCGATCAAGAATAACAACAGCTTCTTCTATATCACCATATTTTTCAAAATATTTTCTTAATGTTTCATCTGTTGTATGATACGGAAGTCCTAAAACAAGAATCTGAGTATAAAAGTTTTTTTTTCTCAAAACAAAGTGCCAATTACATACCACCAACAAATATTTTCTGATAAGTTGTATCCTTTGCATTCGGTTGCATTGCTTGCATAGCCGGATAATAATTATGTGAATGTTGTTGTTGTGTTTGTTGATAATAATTTGATGAGCGATAGCCACTTAACGACGAATGTGAAACGGGGTATTGAGAACAATATGGGACAATAAAATCGTGATTGCCAAAACCAAATTCAGGCTTTCTTTTTAAAATAAAATAGTTAAAAAAGAATTTCTTCACTTTTTACACATAATACATATTACGAAAGAGAAAAAAGACGTCATCATTGGGCTCACCAATCTTATCTATATGAGAATATTAGCACATTCTTTTTATTGATTTCTGCCAAGCGTAGTCAAACATAGATGCTTTTATTTAAAATAATATAATTGGAACTAAATTTTCACTCACGAAAACCTGTTCAATCCTTTATGCTTAGGAGACGTAATCAGTGATTTATCTAAAGGGGGGAGGTGGCGTATTGTCCCTACAGATTCGGGTATTAGGAACTTATCTTTAAAAGTTCGTAATCGAAATACTTCTTACCGCTCTAAAACTTTGATTCGTCCCTTTGGAAACAAAAACCTAGATAAATCACTGAACGTAATTAAACTAATTCTGTAGCACACTGCAACTAGCGTTCACACTATAATTTTTTAAAAAAAGAATAAAAAAAAACTGAACGATCTGCTGACAACGTTTTACTTATATGTAACTTACTTTAAGATGGAAGCTGAATATGTAACTTTGCACAAAAATTAGCGTACGCTTTACAAATCTACTGGTTGATTTTTGAAATGTGAAATACAGAAAGTGAATTTTTTTTCTTCTTTCTGTATGAGACAACGGCAGTTTTTTTGTTTCAAGTTTGCTATCTTCGTTTATTTAGTGATAAAAAACAACATGAATTGTATGTGTGTTTAAAGGTGTGTAGATGCGTGTTTGCATTGTTGTCTCTCTTTTTTCCTCCAGAAATTGAAACAATATGTTCAGAGCTGTTCTTTCTCCTAGTTTCACTTTTCTCACCTAATTAAAATACTTAAAATTCACTTAAAATTTATGTTAATAGATCTTACATTGTCTTCGGTATGAAGAAAACAAAGGAAAAGTGTACGTACAGAAATAGATGAAGAAAAAGAGCATGATGATTAAATTTGAATATATAAATATACATTTTCAGAAATCATAATAAAATAAAGAAAACAAATAAAGACAAGAACAGAACAAAATCATTACGTTTTTTATAAATGTAGCCAATCAGTAATCGATGCGATGTGGTACATTTTCTTCAAGTGATGAGAGAATAGGGTTGAAAAATATATATATTCATAAATGAATCTATATTGAATTTTCTCTTTTTTTCAACTTCTACTAAGAAGATTGGTTCAATATGCTCTAAGATATGAATCTAAGATAAACTCGTTATGTCCAGATAGCCTCTAAACCATGCAGTTACGAAACTAGAGAAAGACGAATTGGTTGAAAATGTAATATTCATATTAAACGGGTTTTGATGAACAGGTCGGGGTAGCGCATTTCCAAAAAATAGGCCCCATGCATAAGCTTACTATCCAAGTAGGAGTATGAGAACGATTAAAAGTCCAGATAAGGTCCGAAATTTGCTATCATACATACCTCTTCATAAAACGCTCAAAATCTCAGCTTATATTCTGAAGGAGAGCATGTGCCACTTAACTTTTATAGAGAATAAGTGGGGGATTTCTGCATACTTTTGGCAGTATTGCACGATCCACACATCCATCTCTTGGCGGCTTACGACCATGGATAAAGTGAGCGAACTTGTGTAGGACCAGTCGTACATTTAATATGAATATTACATTTTCAGTCGTAACATACTTAGCCCGGTACATAACGAACATCTATAATTATAGATTTCGAATAGATCATGTGCACAAGACCAGAATTTGTAAGTAAATCGGTCTGCTGCATTAGATTTTCGTTTTTCGAATCAATTCATCTTTCTCTAGTTTCGTAACTGCATGGTTTAGAGGCTATCTGGACACAATGAGTTTCTCTTAGATTCATATCTTAGAGCATATTAAATCAATTTTCTTATTAGAAGTTGAAAAAAAGAGAAAGAGGCTACTTGTATCAGTCAGGTCATTATTCCATTCTAATACAGAGTACAATTCACTTACGGCGTATAATTTTGTCTAGCTGACAAATAGTCATTATATTTCGCCATTTTATACAGATCTGGTGAATAACATGAATAACTATTGTCTTCCATCTAAAAATAACGCAGAAAATAATAATTTATCAGAACTTTTCTGCAGACCAATGATTTAAATAACAACTTCTTGAATTAAAATTTTTTATCTGTTTACGGCAGGTTATCCAAATTAGTGATTCTGAATACCCGTGAAATTATCTGCTTTCTTCCTTACACTCTTTGACGAAAATGTTCTAGTAGATCTTTAGAATACCAACGCAACTCATTCAGGCTGCATTCAACTGACAGTTGCTTTAAAAAAAATATAAATTTCTTACCTTCACAGCTGAGACAATCCCACAAATACCTTCCGTTAAATTTAGGTACTTTTAACTATGCAGCGATTCAGTGCCGTTTATTTTATTTATTCGGCAAAATCAAAACGAAGGAGAAGCGTGTATTTGTACATCTCAATGATAAGAATTTTGGATCTAGTAGAACACACATACAAAGGAGAAAAGAAAATTCAGTAGAGAGAACGATCTAAAAACACATGTTCCTTAACTCTATATACGGAAAAAAAAGACAAAAATAGCTGACGAGAGTGATTTAGAGAAAATACCAAATTTTAGTGCGTAAGCTTTTAATCATAATATCCGAGAAATTTTTCTATTAGAATTTATTTTAAAACAACACACTAACAAGACCAATAAAGAGAAGGACATCAGTTAGTAGTATAAGTTTTATTTAGTTCGTCGAATGAAGCAAGATTCTGCTCTATTCCAAATCTTTTGGCTGAAAAATTCGCTAAAATTTATTGGGGTCCAAGCTGGAAAAGTTGGTTCAGAGTAAGATCAACAATTAAAAATACGGACACTCCTATTTATGTTAGGTTTTTGTTTCAACAACAGAGCGGAACTAAAAAAGAAAGGAAAATTATTCTCATTATCTCTAAAACTTGTTTGATCCGAGAACAATGAGGTTTCATTGTCTATCATCCGAAAAACTACTGGAATTTTTCTTCACTTCTTCCTGCAATGCTACATAAGTATTAACACACCGATTTCCTACGCCCTCTACACTTGTAAAGATGGCACTTTAAATCCGTGGAGAATGTAATTTTTCGTTGAATTGGAAACGAAAATGATATGGACGCGTTCTACGTATGGATGTTGACAGTGTCGACGTAGTTTTTATTTTAGCTTATCTTGAATCAAGATAAGTATCCGATAGTTTTCTTCTTATTATCACGTCTGTCAACGTTCAAATCGGACGTTCACTCTTTTTTTTCCACAATATCTTAACCTGTCCAACCCCAATTCAACTCCTACAGGCTTTCAAAGAGATTTAGCAAATAATCATAATCTAACGTTCCTCTTACTCAGCTCTACTCATCTCGTCGTTTTGAGAATTTTCATACGAAAACAGCAAATCCTGTAGAGTTCTTAACATTTTCAGTCTGGAAAACATTGAACTTTTTAAATCCTGAATATTGTATATTTTAGCTATTTAACAATATATATCTATTTTTGTTCAATATCTGTCGATGACAAAAAAATATCCAAATTCAATTTGGGTTTTATTTGGGTAAGATTAACATGTGCTTCATCACACACGATTGACATTTGCTGAAAATCATCAATTTCGATTTGTGAATCAAACGATAATACGGAACTGGATGAACGTACAATCGGATTAGCATTGGGTACAAGTGGCATCATCACTCGTAGCAAATCGTCCGGAAATTCAGATTTCATTCTTGACATTATCTCTTTAGAAACATTTGATTTTATAAATGATTCGGAAAATGTCCATTGGGTCGATGTATTACGACCATATGGTTCATCATCGTCTTCCGGATCCTCGATTAGTGTACATTTTGATTGTAATTCACTTTGGCAACGTTTTCGTCTAACGAATGAGGATGATTCTTGCTTTTGTTCTTCTTGACCAGTTATAGGTGCATTATTTATATTTCTGTATTGATTTATCGCTTTCAAATCATTTTCCATTGAAAAACGAACAGTTGGTTTTTGGTGTAGTTGTGTCGATGGTCTTGTGAGAAAATCAGATTCAGATTCGGGATAACTTCGGTGAGATCTGTGGTGATATTCACTTTCAGCTCCGTCACCACTCATTCGAGTTGGCGTCGGTTGCTGTTGAATGTTTGGTGACAGAAATGAATCTTGTGTACTCTGACTGCTGTTTTGAAGCCATGTATGATAACGTTCTTTTTGCTGTGATGCTCGCGGTATTAGTAAATTATATTTTTGATCGTATCGTCTACTAGGCATAATATGAGTAACGCAATATGTAGCATCTTTTGATATTGTTGAATTCGATATGTTGTACAATGATGGAATTTCTTCACGTTGCTCTGCTTCAAGTATAACTGATGACTGATGGACGTTAGGTACTCTGTGATATTGTGTAGGCTGTACCTGTTCGGGTACACGTAACACTGCTTGTTGTTCAGCATCAATGTAATCAATGGTTTCATAGACATTCCAATAAATGTCACTTCGTGGAATTACTGATGTTGTTGTTCCACCTTCAGTGATGTAATAGCGATTGTGTATATCGATCCTTGTATCGTTATTAAGATCATGTTGATGTGTAGGGATTGACTTTTTATGTAAACGACTGTCGATATAACAATAAACATGAGATGCAGTATATTCTGGTTTGCCATTGTTACCTCTTTGACCAGGAACAGATACATCTTCACCACTAAGTTTTTGATGATCCAATTTTTTTTTCCATAATTTTTTACAAAAATTATATTTTAACGATAAACAAATAAAAAGAGCAATTAGTAAACAAATAACAAGTAACACAATACCAATAGACAATAAGATCATAAATTGAGTCGAATTTTTTTTATCAATAGTTAATGTCATTTCAAATTCTAATTTTTCAGAACCATCGTCAGCATGACAAATATAAATACCTTGCATTTGTTCTGTTATATTATAAATAAAAAACGTACGACTTTTTGTTATTTGAAATTTTGGCTGTATTCGATTATAATACCATGAATAAAGTAGATAATAACGATCGCCATCAATCGGGCTAGAACAAAAACAAAGCATAGATAGACAAAAATATGAAAAGGAAATGAAATCACCATGTTATATTGATATTTGAGCCTAATTTTGCATGTATAAATCGATTTTTTACAACATCATCAGTATAATAGGGTGCGTGATAGGCAGATATTTTTGTTCGACATGGTCCTAAACGTGATGAAGATGAATGTTCTTGTCTATACCATGGATTATCCAATGGTAAAATTGTTATAAAACAGTTTGATATCAGATCGTTTCCCGTACTATTAAATTGGAAATAATTCACTTCTGATGTATTAATGAATTTATTCTCACATAACGAGTTATCGATATCACCATTAACACTCAATAACTGAGTGGCTATTATTGGGTGTTGTTGAATCGCTCGTTGTTGTCTTTCCATAGATGCTGTCTGCGATTGTTGTTGGATACTAAACAACGTTGTAGAAACTATTCGATCAGTTGTTATTTTATCGTATGTTAAAAAATTAAACGACAATGCTTTGTGTAGTTGTGTATCTATTTCAAATGGTTGTATAATCGATTGTTTAATTCTAGAATCAATTTGTTCATATTGAAAATGATATATTAAACTTTGACGATAAATATTTTGAAATTTATTTGCTTGACAATCGTAAATTGATATTTGACATGTAGTATACGTTTTGATTTTCGGATGTAAATTAATTTTATCCAAACACTTCATTGAGTCTGTTGTATATATACCAAAACCTATAGAATCAAAAAGAACAATTATTAATGATCAAGAGTTCTAGTCATGAATATAAATAAAAGTCTTTATACGTATTTTTATTGAACACATAACTGATCCAGTTGTTTCTTCATAGGTTAATTGTAATCGGAGATGGGAAAGAAATGTTGATACATTAATTAGAATATAATCAGTGGCTTGTATGGCGATAAGGGGACAATATGGAATTAAACATACATAAGATTCATCTTGAATTTCTAGATTTTGTAAAGATACACGAATTCGTTGAGTTGTTTTATCACCACGATATTCATCAATCAATTGAATATCAACCTTAAAATAAGAAGAGACTAAGAACAATAATGATGAGAACTTGTCGAAGTGTATATCGGCCATTTTACGTAACTTGACTGAAAACATGATTCTGACACTTTTTTCGCTGTTTTCCTGTCCTTATATCTTTTGAACAGAAGGATGCTCGGAACTAGCGACTGTCTCGTTTTATGACGAAAAATAAGATGAGGCGTGTCAGAGCGTTCTAAGACTCCTGGTTATGAGCGAACTGTTGATTTATTACGTGATCGTATCTGATGGGGCTACGAAAATGCTCAACACTTCTCTTAAAAACTTTTCTTTTTTTTAAACAATGTATGTCTTCGTTTTATTCATATATCTTTATAACCAAGAGCCTTAGAGAGCTCTGACAGGTCTCATCTCATTAAGAACACTTTTCGTCATAAAACGACACAATCGCAAGATCCGGGCATCCTTCTGTTCGAAAGCTATAAGGACAAGAAAACAGCGAAAAAAGTGTCAGAATCACGTTTTCACTCGAATTACGTAAAATGGCCGATATATGGATATAGAGTATTAGATAAAATTATAGAAACGGTCCGAAACTGCAACTCTATAATTTCGTGTTTCTATAATTTTGTCCAGTACTGTATTATTATCTAGAAAGAGTCCAACTAGAACTGTGTGACTCAGAAATGCAGCTAATGGTCAGAATCAACTTCACCTAAACGTGTTACAGAGAGTAAAATATAACTGAAAACGATGAAATTAAACGAGACATTGATTCTGTTTAGTGTTATATATGAGCTAAATTATAACTTGTATAAAGCAGGCTAGGCTACGTACTCACCTGGTGTGCTTTTTGACAACTATCGCAGCTAAGGGGTAATAACGGCAGTTTATATTGTGTATTATTACTGATAAATATCCTATAATCATTATTATTATCATCAATACTGGAAAATTCATCATTGAAACAATTTTTAGTTTGAAAAGTAATTTGAACCGAATGGAAGAAGACCAAAATAGAATGAAGTACGATCATTAGTTGCAGATCATTTGATGAACACGAAATTTCCATTTACTCATGCACGTTTATATACTTTGATTGTTGGTAAACGAATTATTTGATGATTTCAAAGTTTAACATTACACTGCATATCTCTTCGTTTATTGGCTTTATTATCTCTCCCCTTTTCTGTTTCCTACTCTTTGCACTTTTGCCACAAAACGCAGACAGATGAGTAATTTTCCCAACACAATGTGCCTTTCTATTATCACAATGTAAATTAATAAAGCCCATTGAATATAGACACGTGTTCATTATAGTAGGCAGGAGGATCTACGTAGACATCGACGTTGCGTTGCAATCATTAATTATGATTAGATACATCGACTTCGTAGTGTTATTTTTCACACACTTCAATTGACAAGTTCAATCTTCATCGATGGAGAAGATTCGGTTTCAAAATTGTAAATTATCCGGATTTGAATGGAAATTTTTCGAAAACGAAGGGTTATGGTCTAGTTATAGGACAAATGCTTCCACTGTCAAAAACATGCATGAATGATAACACTTTTAGAAAAACTCTTAGGGATATGTACAAGAAACTGCTAGGGCAAGGATATGGTTCACAGAACTTGCTAAACACATTCAAAAAGTTTTTTCAAAAATATAATGCTAACATTGAGTTTAAATGTACCGCCAAACAATTAATTAAGGACTTATTGAAATAGTAACGTCTATTGACCTTATAATTCATACAAATTTCTGATTTTTTGATACGAATCTAATGTTTTTATCAATTCACAAATACTTAACATCTAAACATCAATTACAGCAGTAACAACATTTAAAATATTCTTAAAATAATATTATGCATGCATACAGCGTTAGCTATTCAGTTAACAGAAATAACATTATGATCATACTAGAATGAAAGCTCCAAAACGATCTTTCTGGTTTCTAGCTGAAGATCAGGCATTTTGTATATGAACTTATTTTAGAATATCTGATCATAATTAATAAATTATTTAAATTTGTATCGATAATCGTCTATTTAACGATATCACGTCTACCTCTTGATAACTATGTTCTCGTAAAAAAGCTGGGCATTCCTCTTGAATGAGTTGTTTATGTTAGTGTACGTCAAAAATTTCTATGGTCATTTATATCTTATGTCTTTATGGAAAGAGTCAGTAGAAGAAAAGCGAAAAATTGTGACGATAACATAAAAATACAGAGATACAAAGGTAACTGCTTATAATTAGACTGTTTGTTAACTTAATGTCATCATTAAATCTTCGATACTCTTCGGTTTTTTAAGTAACTCATGTATAGGTTCTTTGAGAATAGCTGGTAGACTGTTGAGTTGTAGTCGATGATTGCTGACCATTAGACTGCTTTATATCTCCATCTGTCGATAGATAAACTACACGATTTGGTTGTCTAATATCCATATCGACGTAACGTACATTGTCAATTGCCAGTGCATTGCGAGAATTATTATTCAAACGTCGTTGTGACTCGAAACCATAATCCGATGTTGTTTTACCAGCTGTTCCTCGTGAATGACCAAATGACAGGTTAATATTAATTTCTATCACACCTGTTCGTGCTAATGGTCGTATATTAGTTGTTTGTATTCTACTTGTATCTGTGATAATTTTGTTTCCTATTGGGTAATCTCGATTTTCAATGGGAGAATCTGAAAGTAGAAAAGTGGCAGACAAAGTTTATACAAGAAACTTCATATTTACCTCTAGACATGATGATTTTTTTTTTCAGTTTTACTAACAATAAAACCTGTATGTGCGAAAAATATATAGGGTGCCGAACGAATGTTATTTAATATTTCAAGTTTTTTATAAGCCAGTTCTGTCGTTAAAAATAAATGGTAATAAAGAAAAACAAAAAACAAACCATATGACGACGATACGATAAGGCGTATCATCTTACTCTATGAAGTGCATATATTATTTATCTTTGCCAGCTTGTGGTTCATAATATTGATAAAAGACAGAAACAGGAATGTGGCAACATAAAGAAAAAAAATCCATTTTATTTTCTTCACAAATTCCAAGTAAATAATTCTTTGAATATTTCAAATATTTTGTCAACGTATGTTCGAAAGAGAGCAAACATGCATTGGCTCCCACTCACTTCATATTACTGATACTGCTATCAAGTTTTTTATCTTCTACATCCACCGACGAACTGTCGATAAGTGCGAAATCTGTAGTCTATATGTAAATACTTTATTCAAACAGCACAGAGTACTTTCTATTACCTTCCGTTTTACCATTTTTGAAAAGAATTTGTCCCAATAAAATGGAAAACAATTCTGCTATGATGTTTTTCTGTTTTTTTCTTAAATATGACGACATCCGTTCATCTAATAGCCGCTTGTCAATAAAAATAAAAGCAATACTGTGCTAGAAAGCAGCTGTCTAACGAAATCTTCTTTAACTGTTAATTGACACCATATATAGTTTGAAGAAAAATAAACAGATATATATGCAAGTCTACACCCACAATTCAATAATGCTATAGTAATACAATCAGATGATATTGTCGTACCATTTACATTGACTTTCTGTGCTCAAAATTTCCACGGGCTAAGAGCTTTCGAAATTGACAAAACTCCAGCATAGATTCCTATAGAATTTCGCATATTTTTAGAATCATTAACCAAACAAATGACGAAGTCACAGTCTTTATGGTATTGATATCGAAAAGCATATAAGTGGCCTTGGAAATATGGATTCTTCAAGAAACATTTTTTTTTCAAACTTTAACTTTCATCTCTCCAGTCCAATGGGGTGCTTCCAAACAGGCCCGCCCACTTTATACAGAGTTTCCTGCCGCGAAAATTTCATTTGTCCCATCGTGTAGAGCATCAAAAATAACCTAAAGATCTCGCTTACGCTTTTTTGAAAAAACATGTGGAAAGTGGTTTTCTAGACATCTCAAGTTTTTGGTGAGGGTGAAATCGAAGTCGGTGAAAATGAACGAAATATTGCATTATTATACATCAAATTGTAGCTCTTGATGATTTGATTCTAATGGTGAAGGAATTTGGTCACGATCTAACTTTACATTCGAATGGTAGTCAATCTACTTGAAAAATTCCTGAAGTTTGACCCCGATTTTCTCTTAAACGCTCCGAAAATTTTTCGAGATATTTTCAGAATAGGAACTACTTAGTAGGGTCTATAACTTTGCCCATACAACTACCCTCGGCACTTCCCATTTTTCACCTTCAGTTTTCCAGAAATCCTCTTAGAAAACTGTGGTATAGAAACACAACAAAGCCTAAAAAAAGTTGAAGTACATTGAATTCTTCATGCTGAACGAGAATATAAAGTTATAGCAGCCCCGTTTTTCTAGTAAAAAATCCGGAGTAAAAAGAAATAGTTCACATTCCATTCTTCTGCACTCTTTTCTTTTTATTTCTTTTATATGTGTTCGAAAATCTAAAGTAAAAGGAATGTGAAATAGCTCGCATCTCACGCTTTATGTTCAAGATAAAATTCATTCTTCATCTTTTTCGTTTCTTTTCTTTGTGTCAATCTATATAAAGTCGAATTCTATGTCAATCCTTCATACGTACAATTTTCAACTAAATCATTATCTTTTAATTTTTATTATACATTACATTTCTGACGATGTATCAATAGATTCGAAAGCTCAAATAAATCAATTTAATTATTGATGCTGTATAAATTTACAACTGTCATTAGAAAAAGTCATGCCATTATCTCTTGTTGATAAATCACCTATAATTTCTGATAGAAGAAAGTGTATGTATGTACTTCAAATAGAAAGGATAACAATAAAGAATTCTTGGTCTATCTTATGCTATTTGAATACCCCAAAGCAACAAAAAGAAAAGATATAATGTTTAGCATTAGCCATTGAAAACTTTTTTGGTTCGATAATAATTAGTACAAGATATAGAGGAAGGATTACAATAATAGTACTTTGTCTGACAAATACACAGTATCATTATGCACTCGTTAAATTTTACGTGTGTTATGTAGAAAAGATCTCACGAATAAAATAGAATTGAAACTATTCGTAAATCGTTCATCCATGTTTTGGAGCTAGTTTACAGAAAGTTTAGCTAAAACAAACACTGACAGCAGCGAGTCATCAACGGAACTTTGCATTGGGAACGATCGCTGCAGTCTAACTACTTTTTAGAATTATAGTACGCTGTTAGCTTGTTTCTTACAGCACTTGACAATTTACTTTTTAGTCGCAATACATTGGACGGTTTATTTAATGGAAATAAATATTTTTATCATGTTGCATAACTTTTTTTGAATTTTGAATTTATACCTTTTGAATGACCACATGGATAATTTCGGATTGCTGCAACCTCAAAATTAGTGGGTAGAGTTAGGTATCTTACTCGTATCTACCCATACCTACCACTACTTACTCGTCCCTATAAGTACAAAAGAGCCAACACAACAATAATCATGAAGTGGACAAGCAGTATAATATTCTTTATCACACGAAATGAAATGTTGTTTGGTAACTCACTCTCATGCTACAATCACCCCACCTCCCAATCCTGAATGTCCATGTAGATCCAACACCACTCAATAGTGTTGCTGCGACGTCAAGACATGAGTAGGTACGCGTAGGCATCGGCAGGTATGACCATACCTACCCCTACCTACATATGTATGGGTAGGCCGGGTGTACATATAGGTATAAGTATTGGCAGGTGGTATATCAATTTTGGGTTGTAGCAACGTTATAATTTTGAGGTTGTGGCAACCCCAAAGTATCCACTCTGTGACATTTTTATTTATTTTTTCATAAGAAAATGCATATTATTGATTGACTTTTTAAAGGTTGTAATTATCTAGAGGTGAATAATAGAAAAGATCAGGGGACCAATGTATGTCAGGGATTGATAACAAATAAATCGATCATCAGCTCAAACACCTAAATTAAAGGATAATTAAAGTCATTCAACAAACGAGATGCATATTCTGGGAAGTATATGAAGTACTAATATAGTGCAAAACCATTAGTTGACTGCTACTAACTTCATGTAACCTTACAAACAATACATCTTTAGATGGTTTCAAACCATCTTGACATGTCATATGGTTGCTATGTGATTCAGTTTTTCTTCCGTTTATCATCTGGGAAATACTGTTTTTTCTCCTTTTTTTTTATAGAAAAAAAGAGATTCTTTTTTATTTTTTTGTCGTTTTATTATTACTAGCGGCTTGCAAAAATCATCAACCATAATTGGATCTTTGATTTTCTCTCTATGGAGGATTCTAGTTGATAGGTGAAAACACCTGAAATGTTGTATTAAAAAGCATCTCGAAAGAAATAAAAAAATTCATATATAACACTTATGTATAAAAAAGATGAAATAAGTTCAATATTTTTTTTTTCTTTTGTTGAGAATGACAAGATAAGAAATAGAGATAATATTCTGTTCTCATAAAACAAATAGAATATATCGTCATCGATTACTTTTTCTGGTTGATATGCTCTTCTAATTCTTCTGCTTCTCTAGATACTTGTTAAGTACGAACTATAGCTACAAACAGAGTGAAAACCTGTGAAAAGAATAGAATCAATTAGTAAGGGTAAGGACAAGAACAAAAATTTCTATTACGACTTACAAGACAAAAGAAAGAAAAAAATCTGAATACTTGTAAAAAATAAACTTACGCTTGAAATGTACGTCTTCATCTTTTATTTGACAGTTTTGAACAATAATTATATACCAAAAAAAAAATGTGTGTGTGAAACAGGGTACTTACGTTAATCGTGATCATTTTTTATATATAAGATTTGAACAAAGAAATATTTTTTTGATAAATGGTATGTAGTCTCTTATTTATTAAAGTTTGAATATCATCTTAAAGTCTAAACAAGTAAATTAGTTTAGAAAATCTTTGCAAGACAACATATAGGATACAGGTGAGGAATAGTCTTCGTATGTATACAATTTCAATGAGTTCTAGTTTCTATTCAGACTTGTCAAAGGCATCCGTTCTTTATAATTACTAAGTTATCAAGATAAAAACCTATGAGCAACTTTTTGTTGAGAGTGTAAAATATGACATTCTTTTGAGGGAAGGCAATGATAAATGATATATTCTGTGTTTCTTTTCATATTATGGAGCTATGGGTAGGATCTTATCCTGTCTTTATAACGGTGTAATTCTAATTTATAATCTGATTTAGAAAAAAAAAAAGTGTCAGTTTTGAATGATATATTGTTGGTACGTGCGCACACAGACGTGACTTTCTGTTCAAAAATATATTCTGAAAATAGAAGACTCGTTTTTTAATATCCAAATACTTTTTCTATCCACGTATATTTCATAATTTTATTGTTTTTGTTTTTTTTTTATCACCGCGAGCATTATCTGATAAGAGGAAAGCAAAAAAAAAAACATATCTTCATTTGTTCAAAACTCAATAGCATTGAGAAGAAGAAAAAAAAACTATATATATTTCTTCTACTTTTGTAGAAGATAGCAATATCGACTACCATCGTACGACTAGTGACTTAGCAAAAAAGATTATTCTTTATATGTGAATCTATTTGTTATCAAGTATTTAAAATTTCCTCATTAATATCGCCTGAGAATATAATTTTAAATAATATCATAAGCGTGTATAGTGAATGCTAATTGAAATACGAACGAATATTAGTAGCGATAGTTTCCTGACTAAAAGCAAAGAAAAGAAATATTTATATAGAACTGTTTTTCATATCCGGCTTTTATCGTCTGTACTTTATTTATTTGTAAGTATTATTCTTTTTCTCTTTCTCTTATTATATATACTGTGTCTCAGTAATGTACATGCATAAAAAAAAAAACTGAATGCGTAAATGAACAAAACATATCACATCATTTAAATTTTTTTTGTTATTTTTATTTAATTGATTTTAGATGTAAAAGATTCAATTATTAGTATAAGAATAATACATTGTAGTTAAAGATGTACACAAATTTCTTATTTTCTTTTCTCATTATATTTCCGATTACCTAACATAACAGAGGATTTGTCTTTTCGATAGCTTGACATCTATCCTACTTTTTTGTAATTTGATTTTTTATTACATTCTTAATCTTCTATAGATTTTTAAGCATTTTCTGACACGCACACCCTCCTACTGTTAACCTTTTGTTGTTAACAGTGGAACTTCTAAGAGCGACGATTTTTTTTCTAGTGAATCCTATATGACATCTTTTTCTCTCAATAAGAAGAGTAACAAAAAAGTATCCTCATATTCCAACTATAATCGAAATGAAGAAGTATGGATCAGAATAGTTCACTTGTGTTCGGTCTTTTTTTTTTGTTTTCGGGAAAATAGCTACTATAGACTCAACATGTATGTCGATAAAATAAAGTTGTATCTTCATCTTCTTCCATCTGCTGTATAGATCTAATTCAATTATTATTCTCATCAGCGATTCTTTTCTCTTCTCTCTCTCTTTCTCTCTCTCCCCTATCTCCCTCTCTCTCTGTCTCTCTCTCTCTGTCTTTCCCCATGTATACAGGTTTTGATTGCACAAAATCCAAAATTTTCATGTTTTTTTTATAGTGGTAGAGCATAAAGATAAGCCTCTTTTGTTTTCTATAAATCTAGGCCGTCTTGTAATCATAGAAATGATTGGCGAGTAATTTGACAAGAGATAAAAAAGAAACGTTAACATATCCGGTAGAAAATTTTAGAAAACTAATTGTTTGAAGCAAAAATTTTATTTATTCTTAAACTTCACATCTAATAGCATATTTAAAATATTGTAATTTCCTTTTAGTTAAAAAATTTGAATGTGAATGAGTTCGAATCGTTTACAATCTCCCATACAAGTACGTCGAAATATTGCTTATGCTAAACGTTCTCAAACAATTGATCCTGATTCAAATGAAGAAAAATTAAGAATTGTTATATTAGGAGCAACGAAAGTAGGTAGGATCATATACACAAATATTTTTGTTTTATAGATTACTTGTTATTCTATTTTTCATTAAAGGAAAAACATGTATTTGTCAGCAATTTCTTTGTCAACAATTTATCGAAGAACATAAAGAAACATTAGATGAATTGCATACTATTGAATTTGAATTAACAAATCGTCATCTAACTTTGGAAATATTAGATACAGCGGGTATTGATGAATTTCCGGTGATGAGACGTATTGCTATTGCTGGTGGTGATGCATATGTAATCGTTTATTCGATTGATAATCAATCATCGTTCGATATCGTTAGACAAATGCGTGATTTGATTATTGAAGTTAAAGGTCATTCAGATTTTCCGTTGATTATTGTAGGCAATAAAAGCGATAAAGAAGATTCTCGTGTCGTCTGTCGTGAATACGCTGAAACAATTGCAACTGTTGATTGGGGAAATGCGTTTATTGAAGCATCTGCCTATAATAGAAATTCGGTATTGAGTGTATTTCGAGAATTATTAAAAACAGCTAAAATTGATATTACATTTAGTCCAAAAACATTAAGACGTAGTTCAGATCCAGCTCTATCACACGATAAAGAACGAACAAATAAACGGCAAAGTTGTGCTCAACAATAAAAGGTGCGAAGTGTTCCATCTTTTAGTCGTTGCTACTAAATTTTTTTAAAAAAAAGTTATTTTTTTACAATGGCCTATTACCTATTAACTAACTACAATTGTTATTTCTGTTTTCTCTTCTGCTTTGCATGATGCAATTTATCAGTGTCAATCAGATACTGATGTTTTGGAACGATTAGTGAATAATACGAGTTTCTTAAAGCACGTAGTTATCATATAGCCTGTAAACAACACACACATACACTATTACAACTCATGTCATCTACAGTTAGTTAGTAAGAGAAGCATATTTATTATTTGAAATTAGTAACTCTAATGAGTTATCCCATAAACTGAATTCAAACCAGGATGCTAGAGAAAAGTTGTTTGACTGTTTTTATGTTGAAAATCTAGGAAAAAAATCTTTTATACAGTTTGAGAAAAATCAACCTTAAAAAAAGAGAAAACACTTCGCGTAATGGATAGCTTATAAAACTATTATTAGGAAAGACATCTAGAAGAAATGACTGACTAAAACAATTGAAGATAATAATATCGAAAGTGAGAGATAATTACTATACTTTTCAAAATGGAAAACGTATAAATATGTTTTCAATGACTTTTGAACGAAGACAGTTACAGACTTGTAATTTTTACTGATCGATAGAGATGAACTAAAGCCTTCGTTTTAAAGCAAAAGCGACTGAAAAAAAATCATTTTTCAAAAACTGGATTTTGAGAAGATCTGTGACGTGTTGTGACAGAATGTGCGTTATCGACTACGCTGAATTTGATGACATTGTTTATTTTTAAGAAGGGATACAAGAATTGAGTAAAAACCGAGTTTTATGAAAACTACGGTCTTCGTGCTGTTGCCACCAAACAGTAAAAATTTCATCACTCACTCAGAATACATTGTCCTGACCCAGGTCGAACAATCTTATGAAATCTTACAATAAGGTCATAGAAACTACTTCATCTTATAAAAGTCATGCAAGAATCTTACGAAATCTGATAAAATCTTACTATAAGATCTTACATCAAGAATGAGTTTCTATGTTTTTTTACAGAATCTTACGAAATCAGACAAAATCGTACAAGAATCTTATAAGGTCTTACAGTAAGATTCTTTGATCTAGGGAGCTGTGAGAATTTCAAGGTATACAGTAACGAGCACTGAAAACCTGTAATTGTCTCCATATGTCGTGTTTAGATATTTTTACCGTCCAAAAATCGATATCGAACATAAAGTTTTTGTTTATTATGAAAGACAAGCATTGTTAATTATCTTGTGACTACATAGATATATCACCTAAAACACACATCTGACTTAGCTTTTTGTTGCATTCTCGTTTCTATAAGTAATACTTGACATAGGGAGTCGAAATAGATTTGGCTGGAGTTTTTTTTGCAGACTAGTAGAAGAAAAATCTTTTTTGCAGTTACCGATAAGCATAAGGACATGACTAATTCGAAAATATCTCTGCTCAGATCTTTTCCGTTACCGAGATAAGAGGCATTATTTCCTAAAAACTGGCTCTTATTTATTGCTTCAAAGGCAAGATTTTTTGGTGAAATTGATTACTTAGGCAGCTGTAGCTTTGTACTTAAATTCTCTGGCAGTTGTAATTTTATAAAAACGTCTTCCATGGGCGGGGAGAGCGCGCAAATTTTCCAAATTTTGGACGTTTTCCATTTTTAACCATGTCGGACTTCTGCTTTTTTTTCGTGATTCCTACCAATGAAAAGTAAGCTCGCACCTGGAAACATGTCTCTATACTGTACTCGAGCGACTTATGGTTATTTTATTCATAAAGATATGATTATAAGTAGCCGGCAGAAAAGCTAGTTATTTTACGGATAATGCCGCCTATCTCGGTAACGGAAAAGACCTGAGCAGCGATATTTTCGAATTAGTCATGTCCTTATGCTTATAACTAACTTGCAAAAAAGATTTTTCTTCAACTCGTCTGCAAAAAAACTCCAGCCAAATCTGTTTCAACTCGATATGGAGGTTACGTTTAACTATTTTTGCACTCTAAAAAGAAGTAAAATAAGATGCGTCGATCGGTTGTAAATTTGACTAAGTCTACTTCAATCTATCTTATTTTAATCACAATAGGATTGTTGAAGAAATTTGTAGTCTTAATCAATAGGATTACGACAGTCTCTGGTAATACTCCCTAGTAACTGAAAGAAAGATGAAGAAAAACTTGATGTTTTTTTTGAAAATAGCCGTACTTTATATACAACGATGAAAGAAAAACCCAAAACAGGATTATCTGCTCCATCAAGTACATAAATAAGTTGGATTAAAAGTCTTACAGAAATATGTAAGTCAAAATAGGATGAATGACAAAAAATAAACTGATGAACGAGTGGAATGGATGAAATACGAGAGTGTGTTATAAAGGCAGTTTATAGTTTTACATCATTATTTATCAACGAACATTTTTGTATATTAACAAAATATCCTTTTGCTTTTAACTAACAATCGCGCTGATCATCTCAGTGACTCTCTTCAACCGTGAAGTAGATGTTCATGACGGAAAGATTTCTCCGCTATTTTGAATGCTGAAAAGCTCGAGGCGATCTCAAAATGTAGTCAAGACTTGGCGTTACAACTTAAAAAAGCTAAAGTTTAGTTAAAAATACTTTGGACTAAAACCATGAAAATTTATCTCTGGAACAGAAGGCGATAGAAATTCTGAAAGTACACACTTTGGGCTAATCAGTCATGAAAAAAATCTCAAAATCGATATTTTTGACTTTTATGGCGAGAGGTCCTTAAGGATAGTCTAAGAAATTTATGATAAAATTGAAAAACAATATGAACGAGTAGAAGATTTAAATTTAAAAGAAGAAATATTATTAGAAAATTATTCTGTTACCGAGGATAATAATAAAAATAATGTTATTGAACAAATAATGGAAAATGTGAATAAAAAATATGATAATTTAACTGTAAAAGCAAAATATTTATTACACAATCTAACACAAATAAAAGATCATGTACAACAATTTGAAACGCAATTATCAGTGTGTTATAATTTCATCGAAAAAATCTATGGAAATGTTCGAGTAATTGTTGTTGATAAACAATTACTACGACAAAATGTAACACAAGAACAACAACTACAGGTATGTATAATACGAGGTGTGTTTGTAAACGATAAAATTGTGAAAAAATGAACGAACGTCTTTCTGAATATTATGAATTTTAAATATTCTTTATATGTTTAGACTATTGAAAAAGATCTTGATTTGGCTCGATTATCGTGACAAAATGCTAAAGAATCTTTCGATACATTATTTGATTATTTAAAGTCTTCATCATTATTCATGACAGAGAATGATGTAGAGATTCAACGACAAGAAATACGAAATCTTGAATCATATATGTTACCGTTACGTCAACGTTTAAGTAGTAAAGAACGTTTATTAAAACAAATCGAATTGAAATTTGATGACGTCAAACGAAAATTATTAAAAAAACAAGAACAAGGTAACGATATTGGAATAAAACTAAATCAATTTGGAATATGGTTAAACGAACAAATTCTTGATTATGATTAAACATATGGTAAACAATTAATATCTGCTGATTATAATAAATTAAAAACACAAAAAAGATGATTATGAACGTTTTTCAACACAGTTAATTGATAAAGAAACGTTAACCTATGAGTTAAGTCAATATTTTAATGGTGAAAATGAACAAAATGAAAATTTTTATTTATTAATAAAATAATATAAAACACTATTGAAAAATTGTGAAGAAATACATAATAAAACACGTATTTGCTTTGATTCGGCAGAAAATATTAAATTGTTTACAATAACAATTTTAACATGGAGACCGATTCTCAAGAACAAAAAGATAATGATGACATAAAACGATTTAATAAAGAACAATTATTAGAAACGGTTAAGGATGAGCAAGTAGATTGATTTTTTTATCAAATATCTGATAATAACATGTCAATTGATTCATTTTTCTTTTTTGCTTTCTTAATTTAATTTTCAATTTCTTCTTGGTGAAATTGAAAAACGTCCTCATGATGAACGAACGATTGAAGGTGATCTGAAGAGATTAGTATCGATGTCAAACGTTGATCACGATATTGTTCAAAAATATTGTTCAGTCATTATTGTTACGTTTGCAAACATTTTATAATAAAGTTGTTCAACATCAACAAATAAATGAATTATTATTTAAAAAATTGAATGATTTCAATGAACAATATGAACTTTTGTCTAATCGTATACGAGATAATGTCGATGGTAACAATGAAACATTGACATCATATATCGGAATATACAATCATTTAGGTGATGAATTAAAAATATTATTTCCCGATATTAATAATCAACAATTGGTAAATGATTTAACAACAAGTTTGACATCTCTATTCATTCATCAAATATCTTGTTTGTTTTACACTTTAAATCAAATGTCTTCATCATTATTTTTACCTATTGTGAAATACTATCATGTTAAATGTGCAACAGCTGGATTAAATTTGAAAACGAGTTTTAATGTTAATACTTTTCAAATTGATGAATATGATCGTTTTAAAATATTTGTTGATAAATATGAACATGTTAAATAACAGTTAATTCAACATCAACAAACAATTGAAAATTTATTAAAATATCTTAATGAGAAAGATACTCGACGTATGCCGATTATAGATGTGGTCTCAATTAGACTGTGATAGACTACGTGGTATTCGATATATCAGTTTCTTATTTAATTTATTAACATCATTACCTTCTTGTAATACTTTTAAATGGACTTTAGAACAAACAATTGAAGAACAATCTTTAGATTTATTTTGATAATATTGAACAATTGGCACCATTTCTTAAACAAGACAATGAATCTCAAAGAACTAAATGAATATAAAGAACATTTGTTAAGTGTACAAAAATTAGGTACACATCTTAAATTTATATGTCCAAAACAAGATTGTATTCTTGTTAAAAATCTATTATTATCTGTTCAACAACGATGGGATAAAATATTGGTTAGATCAAAAGAGAGAACAAGAGAAATGAATAAAGGATATCAAGAGGCAAAACAGGTACATGTATGAAATTTGTTGGTAGAGCAGCTGGAAATAAGTATTTGTAAATCGAATATGGAACTGCTATGAATTCATAGCAGTTCCATATTCGAGGTACATGTATATTTTCATTTATTTCATGTCTTTTATTCATCTTATTTCTTGTTCACTAATAGATATCTCTTTTCTAGATGACCGATTATCTCAGACACAGTGAGCAATGATACCAATATTACAAGATGAAAGTGGTTACTTTTTATTTTCAACTAGTAGATGAGATAATAAACTTCATCATTTTTCATCCATAGAACATGAAAAAATTTCTTAATTACGCAACGATTATAGATGTGGTCTCAATTAGACTGTGATAGATTACGTGGTATTCGATATATCAGTTTCTTATTTAATTTATTAACATCATTACCTTCTTGTAATACTTTTAAATGTTAATGTTTTACGAAATGTAATATCAATATGTGTAAGTGGTAATAATCGTATACATATCTTTTTAATACGTTCGGCTAATATTCTTGATTCGTGTCCATAGTACGATGATACTAAATAAACGTTTTATTTGTTGTCGATTAAATGGAATGTTAGGTGTACGATTCGATTTCTATAACATAACTAAAACGAATTCAATTGTTCAGAATGAAACTGGAATGATAGAATTCACGTAAAATGAAGAAAAAAAAAATTTTGACTGACGACACCTGTTTTCCAGCAGAACAGATCAACTTTGAAAATTCATAGTTTTTCAACGAAGTGGTTTCTAACAAAATGAAAAACAGGAATCGATGCAGTTTTTCATTGTACATCTCGGCATATAGTTTTTTAGCTCATATTGTGTTAGGCGAACTTCCACTAAAAAGCAGCAGGATCCTTTAAAGAAAATTGCAAACGAAGACCTAATTGAAAAATCGGCATCGGTCAGCTCATGTAGCTAGGTGTCTAGTTTAAAATAAAACAAACCTGAACTTTCTAGCTTGAAGTATATTAAAAAGTTTTGAAAAATACCTTTTTGGACCTTGATCTCTGGAAAACTCCTAAACCGTAAGACTTGGAGACAAAAAGTTTTTTGCATTTCCGTAACTCATTGTGCCTAACATTTATGGAAAGTCTCGTCAAGATCGGATGTACAGTGTCGGATATAATTTCTGAGGGGGGGAGCCCTTAAGGCGAAGGTGCCACAAGAAGAGTC